GATGACCTGGAGGGATCATGCTCACGAAATAAGCCAAAAAGAAAAAGAAAAATCCGGATGGTCTCACTCATAGCAGATCTAGAAACTAAATAATGGACCAGGAAAATGAAAAACATAAAGAAAGTGAAAATCAAAATCAACAAAAAACTATGAACCAGAGACACTTTTAGGGGGCGGGGGCGGAGGGAGGGATTGGGGTCAGAATGGGGGGCTGCAATTGTATGGGGAATATAACAATAAAATTTATAAAAAAAAAAAAAAAAAAAAAACTCTGCTCCCATGAACACAATCTGGATGGAATTTCAGAATGTCAGAAGGAAGAAAGCTGTAATTAACTTAGACAGGAATGACATAATCACAGTGTTGGGAAGTAAGGTTGCAGTGGCAATCAGTATACCTTGACCTACAGGGATCAGTGGGGGCTGCTTATAGATTCTCGTGCTATCGGAGGTGAAACAGATGCGCAGTCAACTAGGATAGTCTCAACATGTACAACAAAAATGTTAGTTAGTGATCAGCATGTTGTCAGCTGTCAAATGGAAAGATTAGTTCCGCCCCCCACACCCCCTTTCCAGAACTAGTTTTCCAGATCTGATTTATGGATACAGACACCACAGGTCCATGACCAAAGTAGAGGCCCTGACCCTTGAGGAAATTCTACCACAAGCACATATGGTAAATATTTCCCAGTTCTTCTCCAGAGGGACCTGTTTCTATGACAAAGCAACTGTGTTGGAGGAAGAACACCTTGATTTTTTGAGGTGTATTAGCTAAGAAGTTTGATACCAGGGAATTCTGAATACCGTAGTTAGTGAGGACTTGTAGAGGTTAGGGAGTAAATGAAGTTTTGAATCAAATACGTCTTACATGCTATCCTACTGGGTTCATATTTATCCTGTGGTTAGTTGCTCAGTCCCTGATCTATAATTAGGATAGATGCATTTAACATCTGGCAGAACTCTTACACTAGCCTGTGAAGAAAGGGGTATTATAGTAGGAAGGTTTAAGTAGAGGACCTATCTCTCAAACTAAAACTTCCCCTTCTCCTGGAAAGATACTATTGAATGTTATATCTACTTTACAATTAGGAAAATTGTATCTCAAAGAGATTAGGTAAACTTGGCTAAGGTTTTACAGCTAGTAGCTGACAGAAGCAAGAACTGCATACTGTTCAGTCTGGCCCCTAGCAACTGATTCATCCAGATTTTAATTATTGCCTGACTTGGTCATGCTTTTATGTTCTATAAACATTATATATGACATATAGCAAACTAGTCCATCTCAAGCTTCTTGAGAATAGGACTTCAGGAAGAAAGAGATGATCATTTTTAATTAATGTCTTGGAGGTAAGGACACACCACAGGCTATCTGTGTTTCAAGCAGTGAGGTGGGATCAAGCATGGTATGGACAAGAGAACTAACTAAGGAAACCACTGTGAAAGATAAAGGGAAGAGTAGGAGATGATGGGAAAAAAAAACAGGAAAAAAAAAGAGTAGGAGATGATGATGTCAGGGGAGTATCAGGATAGAACTAGATCATGTAGACCCTCACTGTTCTTTGTAGGAGCTTTGGCTTTTACTATGCATAAAATTGGAAGCCCCTGGAAAGTTTTGAGCTGAAGAAGTTGAATAATGTGTCATCAATAGCATTTTAATTATTTAAAAAGAGAAAATGGATTAGGAGGCTACTGCAAGACTGGTAGAATAGCAGGGTATTTTGTTTTTCTTATTTTGTCTTTGTTTTGTCTTGCAGGGGTAGTCAGGGGGTGATGGTGAAGAACAGGAGTTTGCCTTTGGATATGTTAAATTTAAGATGCCCAAAATATATCTAAGTAGACCTGTCAATAAGCAGCTGGACCTCCAAAGTCTATGGTTTGAGGAGAGGTCTGGGCTGGGAGTGAGCAACATAAAGATTATTTGTAGTACGAGACTGATTGAGATCAGTAAGGAGGTGAAGGGGACAAAAAAGGGAAGACATCTAACAACAAAACCTGGAGTCAATCCAAGGTTAAAGATTTGGGTCATGAAGAAGAATCAGCAAAGGAGACTGAGAAGTAGGGGCCAGGAAGGAAGGAAAAAAAACAGGTTAGGCTTCAGAAGGGAAGTGAAGAGTCAACAGTGTCAGGTGCTGCAGGAAAGTCAGGAGAGGACTGACACCTCATCATATCTGATCATTTTATTCATTTAGCCCATTACTTATTCCTCTAGTCTCTTATCTCATTGCTTCAGAATACAGCCAAGTCATTTTTTTAACCTCTCTTTCTCCTCTCAGCCATATCTACTTTACCTCTTCTAATGGAAATCATACAATTTTTGCGTATGTTCTCTGTTGTGCATGCAACAAAGGCCCATGTGCTAGTAGTCTAGGTAGAAACCTCATTATAAAGGGAGGGAAATTAGGAAAGTAAAGGCTGTGAATTTTGATAACTATATATATTTAAAACATTTTTGTGTTTGTTGACTAAAAATAAAACCATTCAAATACACCAGCTATCAAAGAAATAAAGATTAAAAATAAATTGGCCACCATTTTTTTTTTTTGCAAATCAAATTGGCATTTAAAAAAACATATCCCGTATGGGCAAGACTCAGCAGACAGTCTCATATACCACTGGTAGAAGTGTTAATTGGCAAAACTTTCTACAGGGCAATTTGGCAATATATAAGAAAAATTTTTTTAAAGTTCTTTCTTCACACCTTTTGGTCTAGTAACTCTACTAGTAATTTATTGTAAAGAAATAATCAAAATGCACACCAAGTTTTTCACAAAAGAATGTTCACTTTAACATTATTTCTTGCAGAATAGGGAGAACACAGTTTAATAAAATTTTATTGCCTTTTAAAACATAAATAATACCTGAATATTGCTTCTTAAAGAATTTATAGAATTAAAATAGTAATTAACTAGAAAATAATAGCAAAAAAAAGATTAAATATAAGAAACGTGCAAAATCTGAGAGGAAAAATCATTAAAATGCTTCTAAGGAAAAAAAAAGTGTTTGAATAATATCCTTGGTTGGGAAAAGTAACATAAAAGTACCCACTGTCCCCCAGATAATTTAGAATTTACTAATAATCTTAATGAAAATGAAGCCTTTTTTATTGTTATTTAGACAAACTGATTTTCAAGATCATATGGAAAAATAAATAAGTGCTGAGAGACAATTATTAATTAACCTCCTGTGTTTCTGGATGACCTCCTCACCCCTCCCTGGTTTTGAAAGGTACATTCAGCCACTGCTCCTACAGTCAGAGTAATTTTCAAGGATATAGAACTGAGAGAGCAACCTGTTGTTGAGACCATCGGGACAGTCTATGGGACCAAAGGCCTCTATGAACTTTTTTTTTTAATATTTTTCTTTTTTTTGCTAAAGATTTATTTTTTATTTATACAACAGCTGGGGTACAGGCCAGAGGCGTGGAGGGTGAAAGGATTCACCAGAGACAGAATGGGAGCAGAACAGGCAGACAAACTGAAAGCACTGCTGAGGGGAGCAGCGGGCGAGACAGGAGAGGTCTGCTGCGCCACATGGGAATCTCCCGGGCTGGGCGTGTATCAAACCCACACTGCAGAAGCTGCGAACAGCTTCACAGCGCTGCACTCAACCCGTTGCACTATCAGGGAGGCCCTCTCTATGAACATTTTTAAGATTCTGGTGGGCAGATGTAGAGATCTGTTAATTTTGTAGCCCCCAAAATAAGTCTTATATCTAAATTCACTTGCTTATTAAAATTGCTGCCTACTAGTCTGGGGTGGTCTGCTTTTTCTTCAGTCACTCCTGGCCCTCTCTATATAAGGGTCAGTTTGCAAATCAACAAATGGTATTTGTGTTTTGCTTGTGATTTTGTAAAGAAAAACTGAACATATATGAAACAAAATTCTTAATAATAATTATTTCTGCACAAGCTTGAGATTACTGGAATCTTTGCTTCTTGAAAAATATTTTATGAGAACCTACCATGTCTCAGGCCCTGTTCTGGGTTCTTGGGATATATTAGTGAAAACAGATAAAATTCTGGCCCTTGTGGTAATTATATTCTATGGTGGGTGGGGTAGGGAGCAAGTATAGTAGGGATACAACCAAATAATAAACAGTAAAAAATAAAGAAACTGTTCATCTTTTCTATATAGGAGATATGGTAGGATTACAAAGAGAAAAAAACCAGAAATCAACTTTGGATATACTTGAGTTGGAGGGCTCTGTAGACCTCAGCAGGAACTACCAGTTTACAATTTAGTATCCATCCTCACCCATCTGCTAGCAGATGCTCATGCTCCCGCCACATGTAGCATTCTACTCAATGCTATTTGTTTTGTTTTGCCCTCCCAAGAGTTCACTATCTTCCAATATCTCCTTCCCAAGGGTCCAATTTTCCTTCTTTCTTTCTTATAAGAGCAGTTCTTAGAAAACAATGTCCGAAGGAATGCAATTTTAGAAATGTCAGAGGTTTTGTATTAGCTGTCATTTTACAAACGAAGAAACCAAGTCTCAGAGGGAGAAGTAAACTGCCCCAGAGTTAAGTCAATTAGTGTAAAACCTCCTCCAAATCTGATCAATTCAACCACATCAACATAAATCGATTGATATGTTCTCTGACAAAGGCACATTCCAGTAGAAGTCATAGATCTGAACCAAAGGAATGAATGGTGCAAAGTGGAAAGGGAGGGACAGCGGGGGTGGAGGTAGGAAGGGTAGCTGTCATGTTAGTAGCAGAGTAGACTTTTGGATGTTTGATATTAAATACATGGTTCTCCAATTTGTCTACTGAAGGCAGGGAGGTTTTGATCCTAAAGGGGAAGTTTGGCAATGTCTGGAGACATTTTTGTTGTCACAACTGGGGGGAAGGTGCTACTAGTTAGTAGAAGTTGGGTATGCTATGCAGTAATATCCTAGTACACAGGACAGGTTCCTTTTGAGCCCCCATTATATGACCTAAATGTGAGTAGGTTGAGAAGCTCTGGAAAAGGAAAAGGAAGTGAAGAGAGAAGAGAACATTACCAGAAGTTGGCTCTGGAGTAGTGCTCCATGTAGAGCTGTTCATCAGAAAAGGGGGCCAAGTGGATATCACTGAACGTTGGAAACATCATTCCTAATGAGAAAAAGGCAACAGTTGACACCAACCATCTTCTGATTGAAGGTACATTCACTTGTCACTTAATCAACCCCACTGTTTAATTTTATTTCATCTATTATACAACAGGTTAAAATATGATTTTACCTCAAAGCAAAGTTGAGAAAATGAGGCAGAAGACTGTAGGAGATATGAAAAGGAATATCAAAGCAAATAACAAAGCTATGTACTGAGAAAAGCTTGTAGTCTTAGGTAAGGCTTCTGACCTGACATATCGATGTTTATCATCTCAGCTTTTGGCTTTTTTTCCTTTCTTGATATCCTGTGCTTGGAATCTTGGGTATTTTATTTGTTCTTTTACACATTGTAAAATCACTTACTTTTGAAAATAAACAACATTCCATCATCCTATAGCATTATTTTTATTCTTAGGCGTTGAATTCATTACTTGCCTTTTCAAGCACTGTTACAATCTATGCATATAGAGAGGTTCACCATCCTCCATGCTGAGAAACCCACATTTGTCTCTTGTTCCTGAAATTTACACCAGAGAAAAGGCAGATTCTTTAGTGGGCAAATAAACACCTATACTTGCCTGCCTGAAATTCAGCCTTTTTGAGTATGTAGTCTGGTGATCAACATTATCATCAAAGGGCGACTTTTTTGTAATCATTTACTAAATTGCACATGAAAGAAAGATGGAATTTAACCCTAATCAGAAATGAGGATTGCCTATGAAACTGGAGATACTATTATCATATAACAACAATTATAACAATAACAGGAATAACAATAGCTAACATTTTTTGATTATGTTAAATCTGCCATGAAATGTTTTGGGGAGCTTTCCATGTATTAACTCAATTAGTTCTCTTAATAATATAAATTGTGTTCTATCTTTATACCCATTTTGTAAGTGGGAAAACTGAGGAACAGGGGAATTTAAATGACTAGATCACAATCACAGAATTAATAAGTGAGAGAGCAAAATCCAAAGGTGTAATCTCATCCACTGGTCAATAACCTCATACTTTATGCTTTCAATGTCTATTAAAATAGAATAATTTTTTTTTAATTTAGGATCTTTTCAGAGGTGCTCAGAGAAGGAGCATGATAGTTACACTATTTGCAGGTCCCTTTCTAAATCTCTAGTATTGGTGTCAAAACAATGATTGCTTGGTAGTTTTTCAATATCAAGATAGAAGGATATTGAATAATCTTAGAAAAGTAGTAAGTATTACTGCTTAAATAAATTTGGGAAGCTTCAGAGGAGGATATTCGGAGCATCAAGGAAATGCAGAAATATCTGATAAATGGAAAGGAAAAAAAATCATAAAAAGTAAAATACAAGAAAAATTCAGAGTTGAGGAAATAAGACTTCTGATTTAACATTCCGAATGCCCAGCACAAGAATTTAAAATGTTTTATACTAAAAACACTGGAAATAGAGAAGATACTAAAAGTGTCCAGAGATAAAAACTTGGTACACTCAAGGATCAGGAGTGAGTATGTGACGGGACTTCTCCAATAGATGTAGTGGAAACCAGAAATCCCAAAAAAGATATCTTAAAAATATTGAGGAAAATGTCAGAAGAGATATTAGGGATAATGGGTATGAAGGTGGGTGTGACCATAGAAAAGTAGTATGAGAAAGATCTCTTGGTACTAGAATAGTTCTGTATCTTGACTGCTGTCATACAAAAACTACATGTGATAAAATGGTACAAAAGTACACATACTCATTTTACTGATATCAATTTCATAGCTCTGATAGTATAGTTATATAAGATACAAGCATTGAAGGATACTAGAGACACTTGTCTTTGTGAATTCCACTGGATGTTTATTTAAAAATAAACAGTTAAAAAAATAATGGACGAAAAAATTTTGCAAGTTAAATGCCTTACCCAACAAAATGATAATACAACAATTCAATAAAAAGTAAATCTCATAGCTTTCTCTAAAAGCTATGAGAGAACATACTTTACTGAAATGACGGTGTAAACCAGAAAAGAAGATAAAAGAATGATGATGGAAAGTCAAAGTAAAGTAGCCAGGCAATAGGACTGGAGACCAACCTTTCATATATGGTAGAAGAGGACAGAGAATTATAAAGGGAAAATTTATAAAGAATAAACACTAATCTGGCAGTCATGTTAGCTCATGGAACCCTTAGTCATAAGTGCATAGAAAACTCAGCTAATGAAAAAGCCAGGCAAACAACATTGTACAAAAATAAACAATGATGTAAAATATATTAATTAATTAAAAAAAGAAAAAAAAAGAAAAAAGCCAGGCAATAAACTCCAAGAAGGAAAAATGAAGAGGAAAATACACAATCACATGTACTTAGTATACCACCTCACTCAGCATGGGACAATATTTACATTGTCATAATAATGTAAGTATTGACTAACTTAAAAAATGATGTAAGTTCATCTTTCCTTATACTAAATTCTGAAATTCAAAAAATTCTGAAAAGCAACAGATTTTTGCACGTATTCAATACCATCACTTGATAGTTAAATATGACCTGAACTGATGTGAAGTCTCTTTTCGTCTTTTTTAATTCTACTTGGTATCCACATTCACATGTTTTGTTGCAGAAATATGTGTTTCATTTGGGAGTGTTGTCTTGGATCCCACTGGAGATGTTAAGTAATACATAGGAGAAGACTGCATTACATTTCCAAAGTCCTTCATATTCTAAATTCTGAAATGTATCTGGCCCTAAGGGTTTGCATTGAGGACCTGCATAAATATATTGAGATGAGGGTGATTCAGAAAAGGAAGAAGCTGCTATGTAAGAGAGCTTACTTCTCAGAGAGTGACAAGAATAGCAATATAATTTTATACAGAAATATGTAGGTAAATAATAGAAAAAACAGCAAATAGGAAGGGATAGTATTTGGAGTGCAGTCCCAGTTTAGGAAGAACTGTGACTGAGGGTTACTATTTTTCATTACAAGCCTTTTTTACTTTATTTGATGCTGTCAACTATGTCTTATTTTGATGGAAAACACAAATAATTAGAAAAGAATCAATCATCCTTCCCTCAGGAACACACAGGCTAGAAAACTGATAAAATCAGTATTCATTTCTATTGTCTAGTTAAAGATGCATAGCCCAACATAAAATTTCATATTCATTTTATATCTGTGGGGAATTGGATGCCCAGATATTAAGTCTAAATATTCAGTATTCAGTTTAGAGCAACTTAAATGGATGCACATTAACTATGCTTAAAATCTCATACAGAAGAATTTAACCATTTGGAAAAAAATCTAGAAAAATAAAAATTCTTTCCAGGGGCATTAGAGAAGAAATTCAAGCAGCTTTGTTGTTTACTTTTTCTTTTCAATTTTATCACAAGAACACAAGGTTTTCAAGATCATCCCTGGTTGTTGTACAAGAGAATGCTAATGAGGTTCTTTGCATTAGGCATACTTGGTCTGTATATTTATTTACTTTTGCATGAGTTCTTTTTTTTTTAAGTGCCCATTTCTGAGCCTCTAGATGTTTAAGCATGTAGGAAATTATACATGAGCCTTCAGCTTTACTTAAATACATAAACATATGTGTATACACATATGTGTAACTTGGTGAGCAGGAGCTGAACTCTTCACAATTTTGCCTTCATTGGGTATCAAGGTAGGGTGCTACCTGGTAATTTCAATAAAACTGGGGTAAGAAGCAGCAATTCACATGAAAAGGGCAACTTTCTTTTTAACCGATTATTACCTTTTGTGCCTTAATTGGAAACAAAGTGCTGTTGAAATGTGTCCACTCTGGTGCAGAGTAGAAAGTTGCAGTGGATGCAGGAGTTGTAAGTGTGGGCTTCAAGGTCAGGGTTAAATTCCTAGTCACTCATTAGAGTTGTGGCCTTACCAAGTTGCTTTCCCCCAATGAGTTTCAGTTTTATCTTTAAGTGAGCATTCTGATAGTACCTCCCACTAACTGAAGTCTCAGCCAAGGCATTATTAACATTTTGGGCTAAATAACTCTTTGATATCCAGTGTATTAAAAGAAATTTAGCAGCATCCAAGGGCTTTATCTACTAGATGCCAGTGTACCCCTTTCTCCAATTATGATAACCAAAAATGTCTCCAGACATTGCCAATGTGCCCTGCATGAGGGATACAAAATCATTGAGAGCCTCAGTATCAACCCTTCAAATACATTTAACACCTTTATCATTCATACTATCAGGGTTTCATAAAATAATTTATGCAAATTGATAAGCACATGCAGACAGTTGGTAGGAACAAAAAGAATACTGGATTTTATATTAGTATCTCAATTATACACAGAGGTCACAAGGAAAGAGAGACATACAGTAGGAAAAGAATTTGTCACAAAACAAGCAAACCCCAGAGAGTTTCCCAAATTATAGAGGGTCAACACTTGCAAAGGCTTTAAAGGTTATTTTTAATAATACAGTCAAGGAAATCAAAGTCAAAAAGTCAAATGTTAGGCCAAATGTCTGGAAAGCAAGCAATAGAAACAGGAAGAAATATGTAATTTGTAATTAGTCTTCAAGGCCATGTTGAAAACTACATGGCATAATGCCCTTTATAGTTGAAGATCATTTCATTTGTTAAAGAAGAGTTAGAGGAGAAAAAAAAGAATTGGTGTAAAAGTAATATCCTCTCCTCCTTTCTATCTAGGATAAATAATGGGGGGAAAGTTAGCTTATTTTCTATCCCACCGATTAGCCAACTCACCGTTTGCTTTCAGCCATTTTTTGGAATGAAGGTAACTCTCCAGCATCCTTTCATTGAACAGCATGTATCCCATTGGTTCAGAAATTATCACATCTACAGCCTCAGGAAGTGAGATTTCCTCAATTTTCCCTGGCAAAACAATGATCTTGTCTGAAAGGCGGTTATTTTTCACAAGCATCTACAAAAAAAAAAAAAAAAAAAAAACCAGAATAGGATATTATTATTATACACAACCTCCTGAAAAATTTAAGTTTAATAGATTAAGGAGGGACAGTACAATAGGGGTGAGAGGGAACCAATATTTTTTCCTGTAAAATCTTTTAAAAATAAACTTATTTTTCTTGTTGTATAAATATTTCCTGTTTGCAATAAATAGAAGATACAGATATGGAACAAAATCACCTAGAATCATACCACATGCAAAAATAATTACTAACAGTTTGACATATATGTGTATATGTGGTCCTGGGTAAAGTTTATATATACATATGTATTTGGGGAGTTTTTTTTTTTTAATTAATGGTTTCAGCTTATTTCCCAGTGTTCTAGCAACAATAAAGATGCCAAGAAGCTCTGTATAATAATCTTGCACAAATTAACGATTCTGATCCTTATTAAATTATCCCTTGGTCTTTTGATTCCAAAAACTAATAATTCCATATTCATTAATTAACCTTTCTTTAGAAGTGCCTTTTACAGGTTTGTATTCATTTACTTTGATGTCCTCTTTATCCAATTTAATAACTTTGAACTCTCTTAAAAGAGGGAGCTTGAGGAGATGTCTATTTAATATATTTTTTATATATTTCTTCTTAATGCCAAATAGGACACAGTGATGGCATTATTACGTTTGTCTATGTCCTGAAAAATATTTCCTAATAAATAGGAGATTTACTTAGTATCTTATATGTACCAACATAGATAATACAGTACATTCCTTTTCAAGTATGGTTCCCTACGACTGTTAGATAACTGTATTTACATATAGTCAGAGACCTTCTATTTTCTATTTTTGTAACTTGATCTCTTTCTTCATGCAGCATATCATGCATTTGTGATATTCCTATTGCAGCTTCACAGTTTATGAGCACTCCTTTACATGCTTAAGGAATTTGACTCCTAGTCCTATCTTCTAAGGTGTTACTCACCAACATTGACCTGATAAGCTTAATAACCGTCTTTTCTTTATTTTTTTTCTTACATTATAATAATTTGTGAATCATTTACCTTCCTATGTCATTTGGGGGGTACAACGCCATCCCGCCATATGTGCTTATGTTTAACACACCTGCCACTAAAATGCCCTGCTGATGTTTTACCCCCTTTCCTCCTCCCTTTGCCTCTGGTAACCAAGAGAGTCTAAGAATTATTTTTGCTGTACTTGGCCAGTTTATTTTGATAATAGCCCACAAATAAGCAAACTATCCAGTGACTCTCTTACACTTACTGGCTTAAAAATTTCACTTAGCAAAATCATCTCAACATCTCCAAAGCTGTCATTATATAAATGCTAATTTTAAACTCCAAAGTAATTTCTGATTTAAGGGAAAAGGATGAAGAAAAATATATGAATGTCATCCAATATCAACATTTATTCATATGCAAGGACTTGAGGAATTCCAGTCTATCATCGTTCCACAAATGAAGTCAAGTTTGTGGGTGTCTATGGAGGAAGGTCTGAAAGGTAAAGCTCGGGTGCCCTGCTGTTCTCTGTAATTTCTCCTCCAGGAGAGTCCACTCATCTGTCTGGCTCTAACTATGACTCCACTGCGGGTGACTGTCCAAACTACACCTTTATGTGTGTTTTCTCACTTGTGTTCCAGCCATCACCTGGACTTCTACTCTAGTGTGCTTGGTCATCAACTCAACATCATCAAATGAAAACCAACCTCAATTCTTTAATACTAGTCATTCCTCTCAATTTCTCTCAAAATCTTTACATAATCTTGTATTTCCTTGATTTTCTTTTGGTTACTAATGTCCACTGGGGAGCAGAACAGGCAGATCTACTGAAATACATTGCTAAGGGAGCGGTGGGTGCTGTATGTGGGTTAGCTTAGTTCCCCGGCCAGGGATCAAACTCAGGCTGTTGTGGTGGTAGTGCTGAGACTTAACCCCTAGACCACCAAGGAGGCCCTACTTGTAAGGGTTTCTTAATCATATTGCTCTACTGCCTGCCAGAAAGGTAATTTGATTTCTAAATTTTAAGTCCTATCTAAATTCTGTTTATGGGATGGAAAGATATTTATACAATCTCAGTTTATAAAACTGCATTGTTGACTAGATTGGGATGTTAGAAAAGTAGTTTTTCTGTCTAAGTTTTGAAGGAGGGCTCAATATAGAATATATTTGGACTTCATATGGAGAATTTATAGAAAATAATCCTAGACTCTGGAATCTTCAGGAAGATCAGATAAATGACTTCAAAGAAGACTTTATGAGCTGTTTGAATGTAAGTTCCTATGAGTTGGCTACAAATTGGCCACTCATGGGCAACTGTGACCTATTTGCTATCTGCAAATCACAGCAGAGCATTCCTTGACTATCTTGTCCCAGGCAGCCCCTGGGATGCCTAGGCTGCTGTAGAACTGATTATATGACTAACTCCACGGTAGTCTCAGGATAACTCTGCCTGTGATAACATCAAATACTTTGCTGATGCAAATGTCTTGACATATGGTCCATGATGTCCCCTTTCTGTTCCTTGTAAAACTTTGCCCCCCATTCCAATCCCACCCTCCAGAACTTGGATCTCATACTATTGTCACATGATCAGCTTTAACTAGCCTGTATGCTTTCAGTAAATGGCACAAGAACTATTGCTTGAGTAGCAGAGTCTTGCCTTGTAAACCTGCTCCACGACTGGTGTGCTTCATTCATCATCTTTCCCACCACTGCAAAGTGGCAACATTACAAGGCAATTTGGGTTTCACAGGAAGAAATTCTGCTTCTCATTAGTCTCACTAGTAAAGAAGACCATGCAGAAAAAGTGAGCAAACGGGCGTGCTTATTGGTCACTGAACCTTATTACTCACCTACTTTTAGGCAAACTCTAAGAACACTAGATCAGGAATCTGAAGATATGGATTGTGGCCCTACCTTCACTACCAAAGTGCTTTATGGCCTTGGAGAAATAATTTGAACCCTCTAAATTTTAGCTTCTTGTCCTGCAAATTAGAGTTAAAACTTAAGTTGTTCTATGGCTCCTTAGTTCTAACACTTTACACTTAGAAAAAAGCAAAATTGCCCCAAAAATGTGTTCTAGTAATGTGTGAAGATAGAATTCAAGATCAAATAATTTTGGAACTTCCTTCTAATATATATTCCTCTTACAAACTTACAGAATCCAACAGCAAGTTAATTAATAGATTTGAGGAATTCTAAAGTAAAGAAACTGTTTTACTTGGTTAAGTGAAAGGCATCCAAGCTTATTTGAATATTTTGTATTTTTTCTCTCCCCTGAGTTTTTATTTACCTCTCATAAATCAACCTTCAGGAAACAATGAAAATAGGTATTTGATTATCTTAGGCTTGAATACAATTCCCTGACAAACATATTTGAAAGTAGGTCATAAAGTCAGTAAGAACAACTAATTGCAGATACGAAACACGCTATTTGACTAAGTCTTGCTGCCTCCCTCATCTTTGGTTTACAACAGTCTCAACACAGATAATTTTAGGTTAGCCTATCACTTCATGTACATTGTCCCCAAACTGAAATTAGGTAGACCTATCCTTTTCAGGAGAAAATGAACTTCAATAGTTCCCTCCAAGTGTTGGAAAAGGTCTTTAGCCCAGAGGAAGGCTTCATTATTCATTGCTGCACAGGTTTTCCCAGTGTGATTTAATCCTTCTCTAAGAGATCAGGCTAGAGGGAGATTCCCAACAAACGCTCTTTTTCCCCAAAACCCATCAAGATACAAGATATCCTCATTTTGCTCCTGTTTCCTTGTTATTAAATTGGTTTTTGAAAGTCTGTGTCAATAATTCTGTCACTCTTACCAGTTGCTTAAAGAATACACACACACACACACACACACACACACACAACTCTGAGGTGGTGGCAGCAACAGAATTCATCTTTTCAGTTTCATAGTAACAAAAATGACAGGACAGTAGTTTCATTGGTATGCTGCTCCTCTTGTCTTATTTCAGAGGTTTTTCATTGAGCTATGTGTGTTTAATGTGTTTATTTATGCTGTTCAGTTTGGAAGATTAATTAGTGTTCAAAGATAAAGGATTTAATACATTCTGTCTCAAGGCAAAGAACGATTTTTTTTGGGTAAGAGACTTGGGTACTAGCCTTAAGTCCTCCACTTACACAGTAAGACTTCCAAGACACAATTTCTTGGAAGTTCATTTCTTTGCCCCTATAATGAGAATAATGATAGCACGTACTTCTTAGTGCTATTTCAAGGATCAAATCAAATGACAGTACAAAGGAAAATATAGATGAAAGAGACTAGAAATTAAATAGAGTAAGAATTTACAATTGGATCAAGAAGACATGGTATATATACACAATGGAATACTATTCAGCAATCAAAAAAGATAAACTAATGCCATTTGCAGCAACATGGATGGAGCTAGAAGGGATAATGCTCAGTGAAATAAGTCAGAAGGAAAAAGAAAAATATTGGATCGTTTCACTTATAGGAGGAATATAGGAGAGCCAAATAAGGGATCAGGGAAAAAAATAGTAACCATAAAAAATGCAACAAAGCAAAAAACAGCAACTATAAATAAGAGACATTCTGTGGTGTTGGAGGGGGTAGGGATCAAAACAAAGGCAGGAAGCACAAGGGACTATGGTTATGGTGCATGGATGAATTGGTGGTGGAAATTCTATGGGGACTATGCCTAAGAAAAGAAAGCAAACATTGTACAAAAATGAACAATGATATAAAATATATATAAATAAAAAAAGAATAAGAATTTAAAGATGAGGTGATAAAGAAAGAGAATTCAGATTTAAAGGAAAAAATTTTAAGCCCAAGGAAACAGAGCTACATACTTAAAGAATAATATCAACATATAACCAATATACAGGGAAAGAATATTACCATTGGAAAACCATTTGGCATTATTCAATAAACCAAAAAGGTGCTTATCCTACATCTTAGACATATTACCCACTAGAAGTATATATTCTAGAGAGATTTTGAATGTCCATAAATT